ATATATATAAATCATTGCCGGTGGTATGGCCAGATTCACATCAACAACTATTGGAACAGAGGCTTATGCACAAATAATATGTTGTTGCTGTTAAGTGCTGTTGAGTCAGATACAATGAACAGTGATCTTATGAACAAAAGGTTGAAACACTTCCTGGTTCTATGCCATCCTCAAAATGGCTTTGTAACATAAACATCAAACGATGAATCCAACCAATTTAACTTTTATCATATATTTAGAATTTGATTTTTAGGAAGTCATTTAAACAATGAAATCATTTGAGTAACTTTTTAACTCCCTAATATGTCTTGTCAGATCGTATACACTAAGAATTATATGAGAGGGTTTCAAAAGGTTCATGGAGAAATTCTATTACACTTTCATTCCATTCTTCCACAAACTTATTGAAGTTCCCTCTTATCTATTGAGGTGACTCTCAGTGCTTAATTTTTTGGTTTTTGTTTTTAAGAAGCTTGCTCATGTATAAATGTTGCCATGTGATTGCTTTGATTTGTAAATCTTTAGTCGTTAAGCAAGCATGAACAGAGATTTAAATTTTCGTTACTATTTGCATTTCTCTAAATGATTCTATGGAGGATTTTTTTCTCGTTTCCTATTTGGTGTTAAACCAAATGGAGGACTGTTGACAGGTAAAAATCTGAAGATGATGTAATTGAGAAGAGACAGTTGAACTGGAGTTGGTAGCTTGTCTCAACTTTCTCCCTTATCTAATTGAAAAAGAAAATATAATATATGTGAAAATATTTGTCAGACTTGTTGTTAAGCAATGTGATCAGAGTTAGAGTTTATTTTGACACTGCCCATTGCTTTCAACAAGGGTGTTGGAGTGGATGAATAGATTGCCTTTCTGAGTATGGAGAAGAAGGAAGGGAAAAGATAAAGCCTGAGTAGATAGTAACATGGTCTCACCATGGTAAATGATCCACAAGCAAATAATCAATGTTTGCTTTTACATTCCACAATGCTAAGTTACTGCTGCTCACACTACCTTCCTTTCCTTAGGCCAGTCCAGTTTAAACATAGTCTTCTTCCCTGTAAGTAACAAAGTACAAAACTCTTTTTTTTACAGCAAGGAGAAAGAAAATATGAACAAAACTCACACAGCGCTCCAGAAATCAGTGACTGGCAATGCAAAACAGATGAGCAGAGAGCCCCCAGCTCCTGTTAACCCCCCTGCTCAGCAAACCAAAAGTAACCCAGATGATGTGGAAGACAGCAAGAACCAACCAAAACCCATCTTAACAGGAACACAAAATAGCAGAATTCTGAAAAGCAAAGTGAGTGACAAGAAATGCTGGTGTTTTCTTGGTAATTTGCTAGGATGGAAATATAGACTCACACAAACACAAAATTTTACAAATGGTAATAGATATATTCTACAGGAAACAAATTATAGTGACTTGGTTTTCAATCTGAAAATGAGTTTTGACATCACTTTTGTAGCATATCTTTATTGACTACCAAGTCAGTTGATCAATTCATTCTACTTGTGGCTACTTCACTATAGAAAAAGAACTCAGTTATGCAATGAGGTGTCACTGTACATGCAAATGAGTATAGGGAGTTTGCCTGCTTTAACATTACAGAAAGAGGTCATTCATCTTCAAAATCTAATGCAACCATGTGTAGATACTAGAATTTTGCCCCTAAACTCTATTGATAGAAATACTCATATATGTCATTCATTCTGTTAATAATCAACCAATCCACGATAAACTATTTTATAATGAGGAATCTAAATGCTTAATAATTTTAATTAAAAAGCAAAAAGAGCAACAATTGAAAACTATATCCAAATCAAGACAAAAACTAATGATTCACTAATAGCAAAATATCATTTCTAAAAAATTACTGAAACTTCAATTCAATAGATACTTGGAGTTTTGCAATGTTGCAAAGCCTTAAGTTATGGTCAGATATTTTAGCAGAATACTGAATTACATCCTGTAGTAAACACCAACATAACTATTTTTAGTTTATGATTTTAATGTTGTTTTTGTTAAGTGCCATTGAGTCAGTTCTGACTCGTAGTGATCCTGTATAGGATTTCTGAGGAGTAAATTTAAACCACTGACCTTTCAGTTAGCAGTCCAGTTCTTATCATACAACATAACATCAGAACAGCCATTACTAAATCTCTCAGATACTTGTTAGTGTTTACTTATATGAGAAAATGAAAACCTATAGATTTGTGTTCTCTTGCCCATAAGAACTATGTAAAGGATCAAAAATTTGGAGGTATTAGAAAGGCAGTCATGGATTCAGACTATACTCTGCAAAGTCCAGATATATTCCCAATATATTATTAAAACCACCTATGCAGGGACTTAGGAAACCCTGTACAGGGTCGCTATGGGTCGGAACTGACTCGACGGCACTTAACAACAACAACAACAATGCAGGGACTTGGACCTCTTAACCCCTAGTTGTGGTTTTTGTTTCCCATAATGAATTGTTGATTTTACAGCCTGGCTGTAATAGGAGATAATTATACAGCAGAAGTGAAATAATTTATTATGAACTTTGAAAGACTCAGATATTTTTTCTTAAAGTTGACCCTAACATTAATATAACTTTCTTCACAATGCTCCTCAAAGATAACCTTGGTAATAATATTATAAAGAAAAATTATTGTTGACTAATTGTTTTCAGATAAGTATCATCATTATCTGTTGTTATTCCACATCAGTCAGTTCCGATTCATAGCAACCCCATATAGAGTTCCCAAGGAGCAGCTGGTGGGTTGCAACTGCTGACCTTGTGGTTTCGCAGTCCAGTACTGATCCTAAGTCCTGTAAGGTAGGTGTTATTATTGTATCTATTATCATTATACAAATTATTGCATTTAAATTGGCTCAAAAGAATGGGAACGAGATGCTTACCCAGGTTTTCTTTTTCTTTTCTTCTTTTTATATATCTTATTGATCATTCAAATTATTAAATAAGCTATCTGTTGTTGTTAAATGCCATTGTATTGGTTCAAAATAATATATAACCCTATAGAAATTTTAGAAAATCTAGGAACACAATAAAACACCACTAAACAAAACTGCTGTTAACACAGTGGTTTATTTTCTTCACTTCATGTATGGACACATGAAATGAGAATCACTTCATTTGAGGGTAAGGCAAAACATATTGCTATAAAAATGTCAAACTGTGAAGCTATTGTTTTGCCACATATCCACCATCTAGTTCTATACACTTCATTTTTAATTTTTTGTGTGTGAATTATGTGACAGTTTACATGGGAGAACATTATTAGCTTTACATTCATCCTATCATATATCGTTTCACTGCCATGGTTACAATCCCCTTTATGCATCATCAAACAAC